TTGCACGACACGAAGTGCAATTACCACTTAATTATATTCATTTTGAAATCTTAATTTTAAACAATTTTGTACAACGGAAACAGTTCTTTGTTTACGAAAGACAGCCCCCTGGTGTTCTCCTAAAGAACCATATCGACCGGACGCGATTTGACAACGGGCGCGAATTTTCAATTGTCAATGAGCATGACATTTAACTTTAATATTTTTCTATGTTTTTCTAATATTCGGAACCTCTCAAGCAATTTTAGTTATTTGGTGTGCATATCTTGTAAAATTTTTTATCCGTTGACAGTTTTATTTGTTTTTAAGAACTGAAAATTTGCGTCGCGTTGTCGAATTGCGTTCGGTCTGCAATATGGGCCTTTTAAGGTATGGGCCTTTCAAGGTATGGGCCTTTTAAGGCCATTTAAAAGTGCCGTAGCGTAGCAACGAGCGAACAAGCTACAAGTTGAACTTTCTTTAAATCTCGAAAACTTTTAACCAAAAAAATAAAAAAAATTATGGATACTGTGAAGACTAAAAGACAACCAATGTAAGTTTAAACATACTTAACTATAGGTTTTATTAGCAATTTGATAGGGTTTTGGTGCGGTTTTGTTTCATATGTTTGGGAGAAAAGAATCTCAGGATTCTGAAAAACATTTGCCGTACCAGCAACACTGAGGAACATTTAATTCCTTTGCGTTCTTTGTTAGAATGTTCAATTTAAAGCTTTCATCCACTTGTACGTACATGAATACTGTTTTAAATAATATGTATATGTTTTACGTATTGGCTATTGCTGATAGTGATAAGGCTATTTATCTTGTAAGTGAGTGATAAGGCTATTTATGTTATAAGTGCCGAATGCCATATCTTGCATGTGGTACGAAACTAAATAGTATTCAATAAAGATGTCTATAGTGGAATGTGTTGAGTTGTTGTACATAATTGTACATGGTAGATGGGATATTCGAACGCAAATTTATTAAATACATTCTTAGAGATCATCAGGAGCAGTTTGCGAAAAATGCAACTATATAGGCCCTCTGGCAAAATCCAAAAATAAAATATTTCCTGTCTAAGTCAAATATAAGACTTCCTGCATATGTAGATCAGAGAACATATGGTGCCGCACAATATGATAAACTTCACAAGACAATCTCGACTTGCAAGTTGCAAAACACTTTTGGACTTTTCCCAATAAGTAAACGCTTTCCCGTGGCATTCCTCAAGGATCGGTTTTCGGACCTGTTTTATTCTCTCCTTATATGAATAACTTGCCTTTATCTATCTCCGAAGCCAATGTCGACTTGTTTGCTGACGACGCAACATTCTCGGACAAATTCTGGTACACACTAGCAATTCTGTCATTCGGGGTTTTTCATTCCGGTGTTACAGCGTTCTACGTTTCGGCTTGAAGTGTTAACGACTTAAGAGCAAGTGCTTATGCCCGCATCGACCATTTGCCCGCGTGAAGGAAGGCGCCTCCTGTACATGAAAAGATAAAAGATCAATTTGCTTTTGATCTCCCTTCCACTAACTGTCTCGATCTGTGTTTCAGACCATAAAGATCTCGTCCTGTAATAATTGATTGGTTAAAGAATGAGCATTAATTCGCCGTTTGATTGGCTAAAATGTTCCCGCCCAAAAATTACTTAATGACTTTTTGAACAAACCTCCAGGATACAAAAAATGCCATTCTAGAGCATCGAAATTTTAAATTTCCTGAACGACCATGCCCCCAAACCCATAGAGATTATAAATAACACTAGAGGAGGCATTGTAATCTTAATTCAGTAAAAAAAGGGGGGAACGCGACTATTGGGGGCAAATTCAAGTCCCGGATGTGTGTTCGTGTTCCCATTGGTGACGAGTTTCAAATCAGCCAATGAGAGCACGATTATATATCCGGGACTTGAATTTGCCCCCATTAGCTGCGTTTCAAGTTTTTAAACTCGATGCCTCCTCTAGTGTTATTTATAATCTCTATGCCCAAACCCCCTAGGTTTGTGTCGTTCGCCATAATTTCGTACCCAGGGCCTTGCGTAGGGGATTGCGTTCGCCATATTTCACATGCAGTTAGCCAGAGTTTACCCTGGTTGCCAGAGGTTCTGTATCTTTCGCGTTAAGCCGGTTTTCCACTTCAGTCGTAGCATAGCGTAGCGTAGCGTAGCGTAGCGTAGCGTAGCGTAGCGAAGCGTATTTCTTTGTTTCCTGACCACTAGAGTGGAACTAATGTCTTCTACACAAAAGAAAATGCTACGGTACGTTACGATACGGTTGAAGTGGAAAACCAGCTTTAAAGCCGGTTTTCCACTTCGCCCGTATCGTATCGTATTGTATCGTGGCGAAACGTACTGGTGAGCATGCGCAGATTAAAAAGAGGCTTATAAATCCACGTACTTCCGGGTGTATTCTGCCCTGGATTCCAGAGCCTTCGACAGTAAATAATAAATTGAAACGTCGCGAAGGCTCTGGTTCAACGGGGAGATTCTTTGATTAAACCGCGCCAATCACAAAACAGAATTAGTGGTTTTAGTACAGATTTTGTACTAAAACCACTAATTCTGTTTTGTGATTGGCGCGGTTTAATCAAAGAATCTCCCCGTTGAACCAGAGCCTTCGCGACGTTTCAATTTATCATTTACTGTCGAAGGCTCTGGAATCCAGGGTAGGTGTATTCGCGTATCAAAATAAAAAGTTCGTCGCAAGTTATCTTTCACATTTTATATATTTTATACTATATTTAGGTAACTACCATAGCTTAGTGTAGTAATAATATTAGTCTAGTGGACAGACATTGACAGGTCCTTGGTTGATACCAGCAATATATGTTGCTGAAACAAGTTTTAACCTGTATAAATATGATATTATTATTATTATTAAGTCAACTTTTTGGCGTGCTACGGAAGTACTAACCAATCAACATTCACGAAATTTTGAAATTTAAAAACGTTTTTGATACGTTTCGGTACGGTACCTTCAACCGTATCGTAATGACCGTAGCATTTTCTTTGGTGTCGAAGTCATTAGTTCATGATGCATATTTTGCTATATAATTTTAAAATATACTGTCTTGTAAATTAATAGATTTATTTATTTAATTGTGCATGTACTATAAACAAGAGCTTTGTAGCTATTTGCGGTCTTGTCTCATTGTTGTGATTAATATATAGAGAATAATACATGGGTGCGCGGAAATACCAGATTTATTTCGAGTGTTGAACATGATATCTTACGAGTGAGCGTAGCGAACGAGTGAGATATCATGTTCAACACGAGAAATAAATCTGGTATTTCCAAGCACCCGTGTATTTTTCTGTTTATAATATAAACAATATTCAGTGAAGAACAATAAAACGTCCGTGGCAATGCGTTTTACAACAAATGATATTTTCATGTTTAAATACGATTTTTCTCAGTGGCCAAAAACTCTATATAACACTTATGTTTATATAATAAATATTTTGAATAAAACTGAATGGAATATTGGAATTTACAATAGCCTGTTGGGTAATCCACTCACCAATGAGTGAACAATTGTGGCAATATCTGCCTCGTACCCAGGCGCTTTAAATAATTATAATACATGAACTATTCGGGCAGGCAGGCGACGCGCGAAGGGGATGCCTGGGTACGAGGCAGTGGCAATATGATATGAATGACTGCATGTTCTGAGACCCAAAATGCATGACTATGTCTATGAGACCTGTTTCAAACGTCGCGCTTCTCATGTGCCGCACGCATTAAAAACAATAGATAATCAGCTGAAATGCCTCATCTATTGTTTCTAATCAGGCGTTCGGCACAATGAGAAGCGCGACGTTTGAAACAGACCTAAGTATGCGGACCGGCTTTATTCCTTTGACAGGCAGATTTGCTCGTCTTGCTCGTGCGATTCTAGGTGCGATTTTCTTCTGATGGATATTAGACTTTCCAAAGTCCGCGGTTCGTGGTTCCTGGAAGCGACGGACTTTTGTCACCCGCAAGCGCGCCAAATTCACCGGTGCATTTTTGCTCCGGTGACGTCAGTGAATGCTCATTATTATTCTGTACTAACGACGCCAAAACAATAATGAACTAGTGAAATCGACATGGTGAACGCCCACTATGTCGTAATTGATTTTCGCGCCAAATTTTTCAGTAAGATTCAAAATCAGGCAAGTGACACAAGTCGCTCGCTTCCGTCTTTCTCAAGCGCTCCCTTCTTGCTACGCGCGGTCCCTAGCGAGCGACTTGGGCAAGTCTAGATGGATATGAACGATTGGATGAGCTACGAATGTTCAGTTGAGGGTACATCATTGAAACATATACTCAGAACATTCACAACTCATCTACTCGTTCACATACATCTGAAGAAAAATATCGCACCTGAAATCCCAGTGTATAAATGGACCTTTAGCATAACGTAATATTCTTGCGTGACTGTAAGATCTGATGTGCAAAGCTCAAACTGATTAATAATTCATGACTAGTAAATTAGCCAACCACATTGCTTTATTTTGCTCACATGATAATACTGGATACCTGGTGGAGTATATTGGTCCAGTCCTAGGATTGGATCAAAATTAATTCAGTCCTTGGACTGAATCAAAATTAATTCACCTCACTTTAAGTAGGGTGATTGCTAGAAAGTATACTTCAAAATAAGGTTTCCGTTTTTATATTAATTTTTAAAATAAGTTAGGGTTAGGTTAGGGTTGGGGTTAGGTTAGGGATTTTAAAAATTAATATAAAAACGGAAACCTTATTTTGAAGTATACTATCTAGCAATTGCCCTTTAAGTAGTGATTTATTCGTACGAGATGTCATTGCAAATCCTCCAATTCGGACTAGATTTCCAATTAGATCCAGTCCTCGGCTTCGCCTCGGTCTTGATCAAATTGCGCGGACTTGAAATCTAGTCCAGTCCTCATAGCATTTGAAATATTACACAAAAAACAGTTGACTGAAATGCAGCATTTTGGTTGTGCGTCATATCACTCATATGCATTCCATTTTTGTGTTTCTTTGTGTAGTATTCTTGGCGAGATAACAGTGAAGTGGTTTGAAATGATTCAGACAGGTCTACCGATGTGTACATTTGGTTCCCTCCTTGCCCCTCTCAGGCTTGAACGCAGGTACGATTACATTGTTGATAGCAATGAAAGGTACACTTTATACCTTTTTTTTATGGCAGCACAGTCAGGGATAGATCCAGCCAGATCTGGTAGGCGGGGAGGCTACTCACCGAGCTTTGGCCATGTTCAGGATGGCGAGGGTTGACTACGGTGTAATCACTAACTAGAGGGAGCTACCAAAACAAGGCACCAGTCTGCAGTAGTCTTGCTTGACAATTTCACAATCATGTTACTATCTCTGCATTTGTCCCTATTTTGTTTTTGTCATTATTTTCCAATTATTTCAAATGAAAAATGGATTTTACAAGGAAATTGTTACCCCCCCCCGAACACCCCCTTTGGCAAGGCTAGGAGGGATGCCACCCCCGCACCCTCCCCCCTCCCGTGAATCCATCCATGGTCATTTGAATTTTTAGAGCTATCTAGTGTACATAAATTTCATTAGTTTAGGTTTCATACTGTAGTAAGACTCTTCCATCACGGGACAGGACCTCAAAGAACCTCACAGTATGAATATAAATACAATTTAGGTTTCGTTCCTGTAGTTCCTAAATTATGATTACTTGATCGCTTATTTTCACTCGTTTATGAATGCCTAAACTGAAATACAGCCGAATTTGAATGGTACCACTAAGTCGGGGTCCCCTTCCTTTGCGCCAGGTAACGCCATTGAATCGCAAGAGAGAAACGTTTAAGCACTGAACTAGTGTTGCAACTATAAATAAAGTTAGTTTAGTTCAGATTGTGGCCACAAAATGTAAACTTTGAATGTGGGTAGTCACACAACAAAAAATACGAATTTCTTTTCTTTCCAGTCAGCAAGAGAAACTAGCGAGGATTTACATACCATGGGCTGTATACACTGGGTATCGAGCAAACTTTTTCATGAATCTCTACGTTGAAAAACACTTAGATGAGCCAATAGACTCTCTGAGATACCGACTCAATGTCGTGCCGCCACCTTTTGTATCGAAAACAAATAAAAAACGGTCGATCTAACATAATTATGCAAAAATGATTGCAGATATTTATAAAGAGTGTGAAAACATATTTTGATTCAAATCCTGTAGGAGTCATTTTGGCAAGGTTAGGGTGAATATAATGCTTATGCCCACATCAAGCATTTGCCTGTGTTAAAAATAATAAAAAAAGACACGGGCAAAGGCTCAATGCGGGCATAAGCAGGACCTGGGGCCTCCAGGCACATCTCCACTTCCCTCTTTCGAAACCGGCAAGATGATGCAATCAATTTGCTTTTGATCTCCCTTACTTGAAGTATCCTGATCTGTGTTCCAGACCGTGAAAAACTTTCGCAAGTTTTTGATTGGTTAAAGAATGAACATCTGCCGTTCTGATTGGCTAAAAGTTTTCCCGCCCAAACATTGTTTATTTGAAATAAATTTTTAAGAATTTTAAACACGCTTGTACAGCGAACCTGTGAAAGCTTCCTTTTGACCGTTCATTTAATTTCGGATGGCAAGAAGACAACTTGAAGAGCTTGTTGAAACAAGTTAAAGCATCTTGGGTTTGAATTAACAGAAATTAAGCGGTAAGAGTGAAGTTATTGTTTTGAATTCATTTGTCAATATTGCAAATTTTGCCTTATTCGCTGGGCAGTGCCTATAATGGCGACGTCAGAATTTATAAAACCTTTCCAAATGAGCGTTGTTTTGAGACTCTTTTGACAGTCCAAAAACTATATTCATACAAATTACATCGACGTTGCGAACGAAAGCCTTTTGGTTTTGTCTGGAGGATTGTAGCCGGACAGCTTATTGTAGAATACTACTTACACTGGACCACCACGTTTAAGATATATTTTTCAGGTAGTTCAGACACAAATTTTGGCATTCTACTGTTGTATATATTACCTTTTTATCTATAAATATTTTCGGTTTACTAGTCTATTCCATGTATTAAAAAATCACACCAAAATATACATTTTGTACACTAGGTTTACACCCCATTTTAAACCAAATATAGCTGTAGGTGAGTTTCAGTGAAGTGTTTTATATGCATGGTCACATTAAGGATGTGCCGGGTACTGTAATTTGCCGGGTACTGGATGCTACCGATAATAGTCTACAGGATAGCAGTCAGCGAAAATATTTACAAAACTGGAGAACAGATCCTAAAGGTGGTACTTGGATAATATAGTACCGACCTATGTGCCAAAGATGTTTATGCTTGGGAAACGTACAGCAGAGAGCAGTTTATACATTGCATGTTATCCAGCACTGAGGATTTATACTCTCGGTTAAGTTTTGAGCTCGGGCCCCGGGCAAACTTCCCCTCCCCCCCTGTGTGGCACAATATAAGACACTTTACTGAAACTGACTACTATACCCTATATCTAAAATGGAAACGTTCTCCCCTGACCCAGCTTAGCCTGATAAGAAGTCTTCGGACTTGTGTCCACAGGGGGGATACCAAACACATTCCAGGATGTACCATGGTTTGTAGAGTTCTGTTTTGTATGCGAACTTAGCATTGGCATTGAAGACAGTGTATAGCTTCCTGTTGATGACAGACTGTTTGATTTTCCTTGACTTGTGCTGCCCAGAGGCTTTAGTTGGATCGTGTTCGGCCTTCTGTTCCCAAACTCGAGCAAGTTGGCTTCCTTAGTCGGTGATCTAGAAAATATGAAGTCAGTACGTGTATCACGTCGTCCTCTTGATTGATTAATGTAACTGGTTATGTACTAGTTAAAACATGAGCAGTCGATCTTTATCAGATATACAAACTCGAGCCGAAGGCGACAGTTTGTATATCAGATAAAGATCGGATGCGAATGTTTTAACGTGCTTAACAAACGACCCATCTTATGAGTTCATTGGCGAAGTAATTTTAAAAATAAACATTGTCTAAGCCATATGTCATATTCTTATTTTACCTGTTGTTTATAAAAGATTGACCGATTGCAAAAGGATTGTCTTCTGAGCATGCGTGTAGCGACCTCATTCCCGCTGATATCGCGTTTCGCTTCCAAAGCTGACTTGCTGTCGAGTTGTGACGTGGAGTTGCAATATCCGCAGAACTATGTCTGCTGTACAGGCTGGCCTGAGCAGCCAGGCCTCTGGCACCGTGTGCCGACGATTCTCTACGAAACACAAGTAACAGTTATACCCAGCCTACATTCTTCCTTAAATACTCGCATGTGTGCTGATTGGAAAAAATCTTTAGGGAAGGTGCAGTGGTCTAGCTCACAGTACTACTGTACATACATGTATGTGTGTTATGACTCATCCAATTTTGCCCTTCATTATATTACAATACAAGGTTTCTTTCGAAATATTGCATTAAAAGGGTACTTGACACAAAGATAAATGACTATCACTGTTTCAATTTGACAGAAAAAGTTCTTTAAAAGTGTAGACCCTAAATAACATATAAAGATTTTTCAAATTTTCACTTTGATCTATCATTTAACGTTTCCCAGGGGGAGGTGCATGACTTTCCAGAGGAGGTGGAAAAAATCTCAGGGGAGGTGGACAATGATCTTGGTGAGGTGCGCACCTTCCCAGACCTCCACTCAAAATCTGGCCGTGCTGTTAAATGGGACTAGTACCCCAGACCTCCACTCAAAATCTGGCCGTGCTGTTAAATGGGACTAGTAAACTGCCTCTTACCTTGATCCTGCACTGCCAACTGATCTCATACTTTCAGCGGACCGTTCTCTGAACGGCTGTGCAGGTACAACCGGAAGAACTGGACTATTGCTGTCAACATCATCCACATCCATCGGTTGATCTTTTCTTGAACTACGTCTTGTACTGAGTCTTCTAGGTGGTTGTTGTGATGATGACAGCTGTTGCTCTTCGTTACTACCTGTTGGGATTTGATACAAAGCTGGTATTAGCTACAATACACCCTTTCGATAATTACGTCACAACTACACTGTTTTCACTACACTACACTACACTTAGGACCATCTTAAATGGAAAGGATTTCAAGTTTTTTCTCATGGGCTATTGACAGAGAAGCAGAGCACCCTTCTTCAACACATGCATGAAAAAGAATTCTTTATTTTGACCAATAAATGTGGAAATAAGCTTTAACACGAAAACGAGGCTCCAGGTCATGACCTGGAGTTTCGTTTTCGTGTTAATGCTTATTTCCATATTTATTGATCAAAATCCAAAATGTTTTCGCGCATGTGTTGAAGAAGGATGTTCTGCTTCTCTGTGCATAGCCCATGAGAAAAAAACTTGAAATTCTTTCCATTTAAGATGGTCCTAAGTTGAAAACAGTGTAGTTGTGATGTAATTATCGAAAGGGTGTATTTCGCGAACACGTATAATTGTTATATCAACACGAACACATATAACTCTAATACTCATCCATTTAACGCGAGCCAGCAAGAGTAATAGTACGCCATGCATGATCCTGGATGTGTGCCATACTATTCTTGGACATAACTAGTTGAGACTACCTTTCCTTTTATAAAAATTTCCCATACCCCTTATGATACTTTCCATGTAAAATCTTCTTAATCCATGCACTTTATTATTTCAGTCTAATGCCAGACGATTTTACTCATCAAGGGGGCAGTGCTGGCGCCCAATGGGTTAACCCCCACTCCCCCAAGTAAATGTTGGGCTTGTGTCATGGTAAATTACCAAAAGTTGTTTCGGGGTTGTTTACAACATTGAATTGGGGGAGAGGGGGGTAATAGAGTCTGTTTTGTCAATGTACATTAACTTTGCAATAATACGAGGAATGGTTGCATGTATGAGTTATGTTTAATCTTATATTTTGCCTTAAATAGCCTACCCCCTTCGCAGGCCATACAGCCCGTAATGAGTATGCCCGTTCGCAGGTTCCAATTTTACTTTTTGAAAGGCCTACGGAGGAGGTAGTTAAATAGCAGTCATTGCTGAAAAATTGCTTATTAGCCTGGTAATACATAAAATAATGCAAAATTGTGATAGCAGCTATAGTTTTCGAATCGGTCAATTGGTATAGATATGAAAATTCAGTTAAATAATAAAGTATCTCACCAGAGTTTTTTCGATAAGGGTGAACTGGTGGTCGGTTATTGACTTGATTGCCTGACCGTAACCTCTGACTTCGTCTTGGTACATAACCCACAGCTGAAAATTTAAAAAGCGCATTACATAAGTTTACATACGTGCGTTAGACGTTGGAATCCGTGGTATAGACCCATTGCACATGACGTCACAGCGCCGGTGACGATGCATCTGGAGGACAAATTAGCAATCTATGCATAATATAACTTTTGTAAACAAAGCAAATTTTGTAAAACTTTATAATAATTTTGTATTAAAATGGTTGATTTTGCGCTGTATGTGGTTGTTATACCCGAACAGATATTGTTAGGGAGCATCTGGAGGACACTCTAAGGATTTGTGACGTCAGTGCAATGGGTTTATACCTGAAAATTAAATGACTTGAGCTAGCTGTTAATCTCGATCAGAAACAACCTCCGTTCCAGTTTTACTGTTTTAGGTCAGAAAATTTCTACTGAAAAGCTAGGAGAAATTTCAATTTTTCCCAGTACAGTATCTTTTGCAAATTTTCTTTACAATAGCGATCGATGGTCGGTTTTGTTAAGTTTAATTGAACATCGCTAGTGACCATCGGTTTTGGTGTTTGTCAAAAAGCAAAGCAAACGACAGCCCATATAAAATGCCTACAAGCTAGATAATTAAACAACTTAAGCCCAGCCGGTCAATGAGAGTTAACAGGGAGTTTAAGATCCGGAGTACGGTTGAAGGCTTGTTTTCGCATTGCTTTAACAAAGGCAGACAAAATTTACATTTCCCCAGAGCATACTTTTCACCGTAGCGACCTTGACTACAGCGTAAAAATCACATTCTTGTGTTGCAAAACAGAATCCAAGAACATAGCACCGAAACGGACTACGCTGCAGGTTGGAAAGTATTTTTATAAAGAAATGATAAAAATTAAAAGATGAAACTTAACGAACACAAAGCCATGCACATAAAACATATTTGGGATAAATTTGTTATGACAAGCATTTAGTATTTGCATACATACAACAAAAACAATTTCAAACGTAGTCGGTAGTTCGTCGTCAAGATCTTAAACTCCCTAATGAGAGTTGGCAGTCACACATTGTTACGTATACGTGGAACATTTTAAGCTCCAGATAACAAAATGTTGATGAATGATGAGTGCTCAAAGTCTCCAACTAATAATGTTTTAACTTAAATAAATTACAATTTTACATGGTAGTGTCGGGTAGTATATTTTACATGCACCCTTTACCATCCTCACTTACCATTCATATCTCGGAAAAACTGATCAAACACCAAAAACTTGTTGGACTGTTAAGGAAGATAAAGTATACAAAATAAGTCAATATTATCAGTTCTAAACTGTCCTCCCTTTCAGGTCTAGTAGTAAAGGCCATCCCTACTGATGTTTAAATTTTATTTTTCCCACCTGTAATATGGAATTCTGAAGTCCATAATGTTTCTTTAGAAACGAAAGAAATTTATGCGAAGGACGATCAATCGCAACTTGGGATGGTTGAAGATTGTGAATCTATATAACGGTATGCATATTAAGTACCTTTGGGGAAATCTACTGTTAGTAGTGAAATGCGACTCAAGATTTCATTCCGGAGATCGTGATATATTCTCTTGATTTTGACCAATTTGGATCGGATTTTGAGGGGAGGTGCGCACCTCCCCTAAGATCGTTTTTCATCTCCCCTGAGATTTTTGCACCTCCCCTGAATGGTCATGCACTTTCCCCAGGGCTGTAGCGAAGAGACTAAAGCAGGGGGTGTAGTATCGCATTTGTCAACAACATTTCAGCTGCTAAGCAGGGGGGGGGGAGGGTTATTAAAATTCCTGCTATAACTATTATTTTTTAATCGGAGTCACTCAAATATTTTCGCTGCCTACTAAAACGATTTGCCGACAAGGTGAGTTTTATCAATTTTAAGTGCATAAAATAGTTTTGCAAGGACTTCAATGTTATCCATGCGAGGAGTGCAGTGTTTCGATTCTACTACAGAACCGATGGCTCGATATAGTTTAATAGTTACAGGGGTGGACCGGAGAAAACCTGCGATGTTTGGCAGAATTTTAACTGCTAAACTGTAGTACACATACGTATATAAAGCAGTAAGAATCAAGCCCCAGTTATGAAAATAAAAGACACATACAGTAACCACTGTATACGAACCCACATATTCACTACCTTAAGCATATGTTCAAACAACTTCTTGCCACAACCATGGCGTTGTTGTGTATGATGAACATAGAAATCCATCACACATAGTGGGACCACTTCATTCTGAACACCATGCATATCCTAAAGAGAGAAGCATAATCTCATTACACTGTACAACACCTTAATTATCTATATATAAACGTGTCAGAATTCATTCAAGAATTCGGGCATCTCTCTCAACAGAACTAACTGAACCGACTGTATTAGTTTTTCAAATCATCCTGCTCTCCTTCAGAAGGTCTAAAACTGTACATAAATTTTCATCTACCATCTTTCCATCTACATACCTTTCAGTGGTAATTAATGCACCCTGAAGTGTCCCATACTTTAGTATTTAATAAATTTTATTCTGTCTAATGCCAAACGATTTTACTCATCAAGAAGAGAGCACTGGTCCATCGATTGTCAACATTCATGACTCCTTGGCTTCCTGGCTTTTGCCCAACAGTGGCCAAAGAGTAATACCACAGTTGGGTTCCTGGGGATTCAAATTAAATATCTAAAAATTATGATACACAATCGCATTTCATACCAACAAGAAAAGTGTTTTACGTCCAACTTTTATCATTCCAACAGCTGCACCACGACCTCTGATTAGTAATAATAAATTAAAATAATATATTATATGAAGCAAATTTAAGCATACTAGATATAAGCCTTAAGGCACAACATCTGGTTAAGACTTTATAGATCATTAGACAAACTAATATTTCTCAGTTTTCTTACTCATTAGCAGTAGCATCTTTAAGAATGTACAACTCATGATCAGAGTACTGTAGTTTAGCTGCAGTTGTGATGACAGTGTGCAAGCCTTGTGCCTAAAGAAAATATACAGATGAAGGTTTAGTGTGATTGTGAACAAGTAAAGTTGCACATGATAATGAAGTCATTGCAGAATTAACTCATGATCTTGCCTTTGATGATGCAGCACCCAAGGCATCAATGATTTTGTCAAGTTGCTTGCGGAGTGACTTCACACTATAAGTGAGACAGGCTAAACGTTAAACCCTAGGATGGGGATTGAATCATTGCCCTATAGCAAAGATGAGAATGCAAGGGGTCATTATTTGACAACCAAATACTGATTTTGGCCCACAATTGCAGACAGTTTGGTCATCAAAAAAGCGATCATAGCAAAGAGGCTGTGGTCACAGGTTTTCTTGACAAGTAAAATCATCTAGCATCAGACCAGTGGTGCCACCAAGGTGGGGGGGGGGGGCAGACTTGAGTTTGAATTGTTTATATCAAACACTTCCCAGGGGCACTAAAACTTTAATCTAAAAAATCTCGGGGGGGGGGCAACACTGACCAACTTTGCAGTCTGGTTGCAGGTGATGCATGTCGATAAACTTGGCATCCGGTTTTGTAACCTCTAAAATAACATTCACCCTAACCCATCACCCACAATGTGAGTGAGTCAAACCAGGGTGCATTGCAAACTATGAATAGGTTAATATTTAACTCAGAAATGTAATATATACTTACTCCCTGGCATGCTTTGCAAATGGTGATCGTTTACAGTCCACAAACGTTATAGTATTTGGCAGTACTTTGTTCACATCGAACTCAAATTCCATATATATTAACACACAAATCAATCTTCCTTGTTCTAGCAAATCGTCTGTTTTATAAGCCAAGCTTGTTGCAACAAAACATCACACATATATGCATATATAGAAATGTCAAAATGACTCAAATGGACCAAACGTTCATCTTTAAACCTTTGTTAACTTGACAGAATCAATCACAATATGACTAAACTTGCAAAACTTATCGAGAAAGGAGAAATAAGAAATCTTTAAGATCAATTTTCCACGCCATAATCATGTTTTGTGGACAAAATTTTTGAAATTTGTTTGTTGTTACGAGTCGATTTCAATTTCTCGCGCCAGTCTTTTCACCACGCGCTTCGACATTATTTACTCTTTTTAGCGCCCCCGAGAAATTAAATAATGTTACAGCAATCTTTTCATTAAATGTACCAGTCTTGTTATTTGGTGTTAAAATTTAGTCCAACACTTTTCTAAAGTTTGCAACCGTCTGCTGCGCTGAAATTCATCTAGTTTATTGAGTGGACTTCCCAACTGGCTAGTCTGGCTATTGCCCAATCGAAAGGGAATCCGATGTACATACGACGCGAAAGTCTAACCAACCATTCACTGATGTCAATGTAAAGTTAGCACTTTCTTCTCAATTATTTTAAGAACCCGAGTCTTCCAGCTTCAAAGGCAAGCATTTTTTAATCTCAGTAGTGAGTAACGGCCCACAGTAATTGGTACCATACTGTTGTGGTAAATAAATAAACAAATAAACCACCACACTTTGGTAAACAGTTACACTTTATTAAAAATTCATTTGACTGCCCATGTTTTCAACATGTCGTTCATTATTTACATTCCTATAAAAAATTCTTAATTAAAGAGATTAATTAGAAATAGCTACAATCATTGTCAAATATGTTGCGACAAATGCTCCAACTATAAATTATTTTGACAAACTTCGACCCCCCCCCCCCCAGTTAGCATCTTACTTTGGTGGATGATCGGGTAAACAACATCGAATCGGGGGGGGGGGGGGAGATATGCTGAATGTTTGTTATAATTTGCATATATCCCGACTGAGGATCTAACACCGCAAGTGCCCCAACCACTCTTGAAAATGATTGCAGCATATGCAAGCATACGTTTTTGGGCATATCTGCTACTGCGCACAGGAAACATAATTAAAGTGTAATCACTACACATAAACGTATCGAAATCTTTGGTAATTGTCTAAACTCATCGTAGTAATTACAAATAATACGAAATGATGTAATAACGGATTATCAGAGTCACCTGAAACGCATATCAATAATGCCTCTGACATAATTCGTCATGAATAGGTCATCTTGTAAACAAGAAAGCTTCGGGCTGATAGGGTGCAACTAACTGAAAAATACAAGCTAGGAGAACTTCGACGTTCCGAGCAAAAACCCAAAAGCGAAAGCCAGTAGCCAGTCCTCTAATAGACTTGCTCCAAGTCTCTCTTTATTGTCATATAGTATCGATCCAATATAGTGTACATTACATGACGTAGTACGGAGGGGCGGAGCGAGAAAGAGAGACTTGTCAACTTCGGAAAATCTCGGTTCAAAACTGAACCGAAAGTGCAAGACCTGCTTTAATTGTTTTCTGTCAGTGTTTATATGTATTGATCTAGCACAGTGTAAATAACATGAGTTCCATTATAGTAAATAATACAGAAAGAAATTGAAGGAGAACAATTAAAGTAAGTCTTGTATTTTCGGTTCAGTTTTGAACCGAGATTTTCCGAAGTTGACAAGTCTCTCTCTCGCTCCGCCTCTCCGGGCTACGTCATGTAATGTACACTATAGTGGATCGATATGACAATGAAAGAGAGACTTGGAGCAAGTCTAGTCCTCTAACGTCCCAACGAAGGGCCTACAGGGACGTACTGGCTAGGGACGAGAACTTGTTGTGGGCCCCTGCCATCATGGGCCCCTAAAATTAAAACATTGAACATTGAAAAAGATAAAAAATATAGATTCTAATTTTATAAATCAAGATTAAGATATTACAATTGATATTTTAAAAACCTAAATCCACGAAAATATCACCGAAAATTTTAACAAAGTACGGTACATTAATTGGAAAGTTACTGAAAAATGGTATATGTCCGGAAATTGTTTTGGGGGAAAAAGATTAATCGGCGACTGAAATGTTTCATGTTTGATCAATAATACCCCCACCCCAATCTTGATCTATCCGTCACTGGGCGTGGCCCCCATCAGACGTTGCTCAATCGTCGTCCTTTTCAAGATCCCAGCACGTCCCTGGGGCCTTCGCACGAAACGTCGAAGTCCTCCTTGTATCAGTTTTCAGATAGTTGCATCCCTATGAATCTGAACCTTTCTTATTATTGGCACATACACTGGCACAGACAGTTCAAGATTACTTCTTGTAAACACACCAGGGAGAATAGTGTGATGTGCTGTAGATTGGCAACGGCATTTTAATACCGGATTTATACTGGTAGACGAATCATCGGCCTAGGCAAACTACGTATATGCAAGTTGGTCTGGATCATTGAATGGTCTGGATAGATGAACTAGACAGATAGTTGGTCTGGACCATAGATATCTTATATATACACTAGATAGCGCATCTCTTTAAGTAAAATTGAAGCCAAGAATATTCCAGCGGTTACCCCCATTTGAATAGATGGCTGCCATGTTGGAGTTTCCCACTCGCTAATAAACGCTTAAAAAACAACAATAACTTTCATCATTTGGACAGTTTGAAAATGTATTTGGAATAGGTTTAACTTAATGTTTATGTTCCCTGTTTAAGAGATAGAAAACATACGAGTCTTCTCATTTCATGGGAGTATCCTGAGTCTGCAATCACGGATTCAATTTTTGAATTGCAGAATAATTAGATGCACTATCTAGTGCATATAAGATATCTATGGTCTGGACGGATAATTCGTTTGTGTACCGTGTTTATACGGTTATATACAAAGATGAACTAAAACGTTCGTGCAAATCGGAACAATGTAAATAGCTTTACTGTTCATATTTACTGCCCTCCATGCCGTCCTACACATTCTTTGTCATAGCCTTAAAGGAGGTCGGCAACATAATTAAAACCACAATCAACGAGTAAATCGTACATTGTACCGACTGTTGACCTTCTACTAACTTCCCAGTTTGACAACACACAATCAGATGGATCTTTACTGGCACTTAATCGCTCTAACAAAGCAACTTGAGTTGCACTCATATTTATATCGTCGTGGCTTGCCAGCTCCCTCCAGTATCCTTTAGCTACAGAAGAAAAAATGTTAGAAAGTCTTCTGAAGATAGTATCTGGGTAAAATGTCAGGAGCGTTGCGAGGGAATCGTAAGGCCCTGTTACACGGTGCAATTTTTCATGCAATTTGTCTCGCAATGGCGTTGCGAGACAAGTTGCACGAGTCATTGTTAACATGCCTTGCAATGGTCAAAATCTTTGCGAGACAAGTTGCATGAAGCATTGCACAGAGTAGAAGTCGGTTCTACTTTTGGCAACGATTGCACTAATTATTTTTAGCATTGCTGCGTGTAACATGGCTTCGTGCAACTTGTCTTGCAATGTTTATAGCTTGGAGAGTTCCTATTGGCTCTCCCTAGTACACGCGCTTTACTATAAATGTATAAAATTGACACTCGAAATTTCCGTCTGCAAAATCCTCAGGGATGGATCCAGCATGATCTGGTAGGGGGGGGATGCTCTGCCAGCTCTGGGGCCGAGTTGTGTCGGTCATGTACAAAACCCTGCAATAACTTTGGACCCACAGGGGAGTGCCCAAGGTTACTAGAAACCTTACGATTTTAGGACGGCAACACGACGGCAGCGGCTACCAATACAAATAATACATTGTCCTCGCTCTGTTTACAACGCCAAATCCGGCACAGAAGTGCAGCTTCAAACTGGGTTTAGCAGAACTCTTCCCAACCATAAAACCAATGTCTTCAACTTCTAAGACTGTATTAAATTCATACGATTGATAATATACGACGAACTATCTTTACTACCATTTATTTGAAGGAGTTTGTTTTGGCCGTCGCCGTCGCGTTGCCGTCCTACTGAACCTCCAGGAGACCACGGAGTCAAACCAGACAAACTTACCAGTAAGGGCATCAGTGACTTCTTTCCGACGACCATAATTCATTTCAGCTGGTCTTAATTCATCATCACTTTTAACAGGGCCTTGATTAAAATTAAAATGCGATGTTGCTCATACAATTAGGGATTAATAGTACGAGTGATGTTTGGAAATTTTGCCAAAATTGCCGCCGGATTACTTGTTTATTGTTAGCATGACAAAATTGGATAATTCGCACTGTCAACATCATATTCTCTCGCCAAAGCCAGTCCTGCCAGACTTTCAAACAGACTGAATGCTGTTTTTAGGGTTTGTAATCCAAGTGAGTATATATACACTTTAAAACCTGACCAGGAACGACTGCGAAAAATGCAGCACAAGTTCCTCCGGTAGAAATTGAACCTACGGAATTAATACCACCAAGTGAAGTGCAAGAAACAAGATCATTGAAGTCCACCTTATCACAACCCGCACACCTATATATACATGACTAACATGAGTTTACGGTTACAGCTCTACAGCCGGCATCTGTAGCTCAGTTGGTTAGAGCGCTGCACGAGAATCGCAGGGCCGTAGGTTCAATTCCTACCAGAGGACCTTGTGCTGCATTTTTCACAGTCGTTCCTGGTCAGGTCTTAAAGTGTATATATACTCACTTGGATTACGAACCCTAAAAACAGCATTCTAATAGTAATACCACCAAGTGAAGTGCAAGAAACAAGATCATCGAAGTCCACCTTTTCAACCAGACTGCCTGCTTTTGTTCGTATTTTCATTTCTTTTGCTTTAAGTTCCTCTACGACAATTTCATTTGTGTTTAAATACCTTTCCGCTATTTTGTTTGTTTTGGGAAAATCATTAATTGTACTGCAGTACAATTAATGAAATAATTGTACTCCTCTCAACCAATCAGCATCCAGTAATTTTGTCATGCTAATAATAAAGAATTCATGTAATGACGTAAAAATAATCTGCTACCACCCTCAAAACCTACCAGTGCTGCCCGCTGGAAATTTATTTCTCATCCACTTTGTAATTTCACATTGTTTCGCCTTACGAAGTTCTCTGAAAAGAATTCTCATCTTCTGTTCGCCTAATTTTTCCAAGAAATCCTCGGCATTAAGAACGTCGCATCTTTCTTCTTTAACAGCAGATGCAACATCTGAAAGAACACCTTGTTGCAAGCCATTTAGACGGCTGATAAACGGAGCTTTTAAAACTTGTGGGATGTATTTGACTATCCGTATTGCTTCGTCTATAAGAGAAACGTTGATGGATATACTCGTGGATAGTCTAAACATGAGTGTAGATTTTATTTTAATTCTAGTCCGCAGGCATCTCTATAGGGGTTTTAGCCTGCGAATATACTTTTTCCGACCACCCGATTCAACAAATTACCGCTTTAGGTGCGCGAACTCTACTGTTGCCGCGTACAAACTCAATACTCAATGTGTACTTGGTCTTAAAATAAATACATAAAGTACTGAAAGGTGTTCAAACTACAAGTTAGAACAAGAAGCACAATGGACCATTTGCATTATAGACTAATTTTTGATCTAGACAAAAATTTCATCACAGCTTGAAAGAGCATCACAAAATTAGTAATATTCCAAAGTTTCGTTGCGAAATGTTCTAAAATGCGGATAATATAGCCTTGCGAAATTTGCAATTTTCAGTCATTTTGTATTACAAACGGGAAATTGATGCCCCAATACCCGATTGGGCTGTCAATTTCCCGTGCGTAATACAAAATGACTGAAAAATGGCAAACTTCGCAAGGCTATATAATCCGCATTTTACAACATTTCGCAACGAAACTTTGGAATATTACTAATTTTGTGATGCTCTTTCAAGCTGTGATGAAATTTTTGTCTAGATCAAAATTTTAGTTAGAAAGGGAAAGGTCCATTTATTGCCCATACAAAAACATACAAACAATTGACTTGTTAGTTAGCCTACGGTGTAGATCCCAGCATGCTGGGGTCTACACCGTGGGCTACTTGTTAGTGCGATCAGTCCTAACCGTGGTCCTAATTATGATTCATGCCAAGACATACCAGACTTACACATTTACCAACTAAGTTATGGTATTGAATTGGGCTTGGAAAGGTTGTGTGGTACCAGCAAAATGTAAGTACGCAGATGGCAAACATTGCACGTTACAACAGTCAGTTCCAGTTGTGACCGGTCAAATGCGATTTCTGACCGGTCAACTCCCACGAGACCCCACGAATAATAATAATAATAATTTAATATTTATATCGCGCAAATTTACATGAGAATATGATCAAATGCGCGTAACAAAGATATAGTAATAGTAATAATATTTACATATGCTAAAATAAGCGGATAAATCTATGTACAATATGCAATTTGAAAAAGATATGTTTTCAATGAAGACTTAAAGCTATTAAAATTACTATCTCGTCTGATAAAATGCGGCAAGGCATTAAAAACTGTAGGAGCTGCAAAACTAAAAGCTCTATCACCTAAAGTCTTCTTCGTATTTCTGTTATTAGCTGGCTCTATCAATAGTTCCTTATTTCTGCGCAGCTGATAGCTACTTGGTCTCATAACTGTTACCATTTCACTAATGTATGATGGCGCTAATCCATGTATTGCTTTAAAAGTCAATACAGATATCTTAAAGATTATTCTCTCCTTGACAGGCAGCCAATGGAGCTCATATAAAACTGGAATAATGTGATTGAAACGAGAAGCACCGGAAACCAGCAGGGCTGCCGCATTCTGTACACGTTGTAACTTATTTACAGACTTTGCTGGAAGACCATAGAGAAGGCTGTTACAATAATCCACTCTTCCCATGATAAAGGCATGGACTAAGATTTTAGTTGCGTCAACGGAGAGATATTTTCTAATTCTGCGAATATTATGTAGGTGGAAAAATGCTTGTCTACATGTATTGTTGATATGGGGTACCAAACACAGATTGCTATCAAACACAGTCCCCAAATTCCTAGCAGATGCTACCGGTGTAATGTTGACATCGCCTACAGGAAGCGAGACAATGTTCACTTTTTTTAATTGTTGCCTTGTACCGATAATCAAAAACTCAGTCTTACTATCATTCAGTTTCAATTTGTCCTTAGTCATCCACGTACGTACTGCCTTAATGCATGTCTCCATCGCTGCGATACTCTCTTCCTCACTCGCACCGTTCCCTGGTTTAAACGACAAATAAAGCTGCGTGTCATCAGCATATGCATGCGCAGTTGGTAAATGTTCTTTAATAACATCAAATAGTTTACTTGCATACATGGTAAAAAGCAGCGGTCCCAAACATGATCCCTGAGGTACGCCACACGTTAATGGAAAAATGTCAGAGATTCCATCTTTAAATGCTATTCGCTGACATCGTCCAGATAGGTAGGATTCAAACCACTTTCGCACAGTTCCTGTAATCCCAAAAGATGTTTCCAATCGGTGCAATAAAATGCTGTGATCGACAGTATCGAACGCTGCACTAAGGTCCAGAAGAACAAGAAGGGTAACCTGCTGACAATCCATATTCAAAAGTATGTCGTTTTGGACCTTCAGAAGGGCGGTCTCAGTACTATATCCTTGCCTGTATGCGGACTGATACTCCGGGAATAAATCATGCAACATCAAATGGTCATAGATCTGATCATAAACTGCTCGCTCAACTAGTTTAGAGATAAACTGCAAGTTACTGATCGGACGCAGATGGTTGAACAAAGCAGCTAGTCCTGGTTTTTTTAGAAGGGGTTTTACTAGAGCCTCTTTCCAATCAGTTGGAAAATATCCATTGATAAGCGAACTATTGACTAGATGAGTAATTATAGGTAGTAACAATTCCAGACAATCAATCACCAATGGCATTGCCATTGGATCCAAGTCACAGTACTTCTTGGGTGAGGCAATAACCAGAGCTCGAACTTCCTCTTCACTGAGCAAACGGAACGACTCCAGGGTAACACTACCATCAGATGGCACGCAACGATCACTGGGTACAGGAGCACATGATTCTTCATCAAGAACAGGCCGATCCACATCAGAGCGAATCTTAGAGACCTTTCGCACGAAGAACTCCCCAATATCATTACAGAGCGCAGTACTCGCCTCCCTGCAACGCATTGCTCACACGCGAATACTCGCCTCCCTGCAACGCATTGCTCACACTCGATGTATTTCGCAACGATCAAATTTCAGCTGGCGACGCTCTCAACTTCATGTTGATGCCGAGATGCACGCAGTATAATTATAACACAATTAAAGTTTTAAATATAAACTTCGTCATATTTTAATCTTCGTCAAAACTTGAATTCGAATAAAAAGTTTAATACGAAAAAATCCTTACATAATATGTAGATGTAACGGGTCCACAATCAAATCAATTCAATTAATGTACTGTAACAGGTCCACAAAAACGCAAAAATCAATCTCGCTCTCTGAGCCAAAATGTTGTCGGTCACTATGTCCGCCGTCATACAAATTTGACAGGTCATATTATTAAAAAGTTATTTTGACCCTTGCTCCGGTACGACTAAAGATCTTGAATTATCGCACCCTGTAAGCCATGTAGAAATTTATGAGACAGTAGCAAGAAATATAAGAAATATACAGTGCTTACTTTTCTTTTCTTCGTCCACATGCATGTTTTCAACACCATCAGCAATGTCATAGTTGTGCTTCAATTCAACACATAACATCCGTTCAATTTTATGAACCAGACCACCCTGTCCACATTCCATTAATGCCTCGAGCAATTTCTTGACTGTCGCCAGCCTGCCATCTCTATCAATCCAAATATTCATCACAAATCTTGTAGGGTTGTTTTGATTCTCTGCTATACCATTCTCTTTTCCTTCTGGTAGTTTCAACACTTTATAGAACCTTGAAATAGAGTCAATTATAAGCACTGAAAGTCCCAACCAGGAACCTAACGGCCAAGGTGTTCTACTTCACATTGATGCCAGTTCTTCTGAACTGACGTGACTACCCTGACGAAATAAATTTGATTTGATTTGATTTAGAGGACCAAGCTCTGACCACTGAGCAAATTTGGATGCTCAGAAACGTGAGATGAAAACATCCAATGAACCGACCCCTGATGGTTGTGGCATTGAACTCGTGACAAATTTTGTCTGAGTGTTTCCACACCGGGGCAAGCTGAAAAATTGCTTGACCACAGTAGGAATTAAACTTGCAACCTACAGTATGTATGGCTTGCTAGTCCAAGAAACTTATGGCTTGTTAGTCCAACCTAGCCTGCATATCAGGCTCTATGCTTGAAAACCTGACACAGTAAGGCTAAGGCGTGACCCTATTATTTTTTCAATGCGATTGACCGTGCACCCTATTTTTTCCGGGTGGTTGTGGGCTGCTGCCAAAGCGGCGTCTGTTGTCACACTAATTATTGAAGAAACCATGAAAAAAATATTTAAAAAAAATTATTTCCAACCTACCGACCCTAATTTTTTTCACAATATGAAACCGGAACCACAGGTATTTTTTTTTACGCCTAAGTCCAACCCCCAACTTATGGTTTGCTAGTATGATCTACTGTACAACTAGGATTCCATGAGCCATGGGTTAGATTCCCACCTCTGTCAAGCAATTTGATGCAAATTTTAACTGGATAGTGTTGGATGTTTATATTTTGCCGGACATATCAAATTCTGGTATCCAGGTCCAGCACATCCCTACTAATTACCTTTTCCAATCATTTTCTAACACTTCATTAGGTTTATTTAAATACTCCTCTACAAGTCCCAAAACATCCACAGGCAATTCAGAACATGGTGTTGACAAGTTACAATTCTGACTGACTTCCATAGCTACAACACTTGAAGATTCTGGATAGCATTTACCATCACCTTGGAATATATCTGGGTGACTTCCTAAAAATAGAGTATGGCAAAATATGCTATGATTGCCATGTATTACCTTTAGAAATAATAGAGTAAATATATCCAATTTTAAATTTACCTGTAACTATGTTAATTTCACTTACGTTTTATTTTCTGTTTAACATCATGATACAACTGTGGTTGATTAATTTTCAGAGCATTGAAGAAAACATCAAATGCTTTGGGCCCTAATTTTGGCAGCAACTCAAACAGTTTTGTGACTCGCTCTCTGTTTGTTTGTTTTTCCAATATTGCTTGACATTGGCTTTCTAGCTTCACAATATTTGCTTCCTTTAGACTTGCAAGCATTTTCTCGACGTCCAACTTTGGGAACTCAGGCAAATATTGCCTTAAAATTTGACGATGAACGTCTTTCATGTCACTTTTACCTGCTGCTGTTTTTGATTGCTCTAAAAACATTTAATATGAAGGACATAAAAATACTGAAAGGGTTTCTTTAAGGTCTCTTGCCCTTAATTCTTTTGTTGGAAACTAGACTGCATCAGGGTGCATCAGACTGCATCAGGGTGCATTAGACTGCATTAGGGTGCATCAGGCTGCATCAGGGTGCATTAGACTGCATCAGGCTGCATTAGACTGCATCAGGGTGCATTAGACTGCATCAGGCTGCATTAGACTGCATCAGGGTGCATTAGACTGTATTATATAATACCTTATTAAATTCTAATCGTTTAATTGGCTGTTTATGGTCACGTGATATTGAATAGAAAATTCCATTTCCCAAGAGTGCAATGGAATCTCCGCGAGTGCAATGGAATAAAACGTATAATACAATTGCACTCTTTGTGTTTTCGATAAATCGCATCCCGCAAAATGCTTCTCATACGAATCTATTAGTCTGTTCTAGACTTTTGGTATTATATAAAACAAATAATGAATGTTTCTTCGTGCAATGGTAAGAATATTTTCATTCGGTGAAAGATGGAATGTTCCATTCAACTTGGCTGTCGCCTCGTTGAATGGAACATTCCATCTTTCACCTCATGAAAATATTCTTACCATTGCACTCATAAACATTCATTATTTGTATATTAGTCTGCATCAGGGTCCATTAGACTGCATCAGGGTGCATTATACTGCAACAGGGTGCATTAGACTGCATCAGGGTGCATTAGACTGCATCAGGCTGCATTATACTACATCAGGGTGCATTAGAATGCACCAGGGTGCATAAGACAGCATTAGACTGCATTAGGCTGCATCAGGGTGCATTAGACTGCATCAGGCTGCATTAGACTGCATCAGGGTGAATTAGACTGCATTACACTGCATCAGGATGCGTTAGACTGCATTAAATTGCATCAGGCTGCATTAGTCTGCATTAGACTGCATCAGGGTGCATTAGACTGCATTAGACTGCATCAGACTGCATCAGGGTGCATTACCCTGTATTAGACTGCATCATGCTGCATTAGACTGCATCAGGGTGCATTACCCTGTATTAGACTGCATCATGCTGCATTAGACTGCAACAGGGTGCATTAGACTGCATCAGGGTGCATTAGACTGCATCAGGGTGCATTACCCTATATTAGACTACATCAGGGTGCATTAGACTACATCAAGGTGCATTAGACTGCATCAGGCTGCATTAGACTACATCAGGGTGCATTAGACTGCATCAGGGTGCATTAGACTGCATCAGGGTGCATTAGACTACATCAGGGTGCATTAGACTGCATTAGCGTGCATTAGACTGCATTAGCGTGCATTAGACTACATCAGAGTGCATTAGACTGCATCAGGCTGCATTAGACTACATCAGGGTGCATTAGACTGCATCAGGGTGCATTAGACTACATCAGGCTGCATTAGACTACATCAGGGTGCATTAGACTGCATTAGGCAGCATTAGACTGCATCAGGGTGCATTAGACTGCATCAGGGTGCATTAGACTGCATCAGGCTGCATTAGACTGCATCAGGGTACATTAGACTGCATCAGGGTGCATTAGACTACATCAGGGTGCATTAGACTGCATTAGCGTGCATTAGACTGCATTAGCTTGCATTAGACTACATCAGGGTGCATTAGACTGCATCAGGCTGCATTAGACTACATCAGGGTGCATTAGACTGCATCAGGGTGCATTAGACTGCATCAGGGTGCATTAGACTGCATTAGACTGCATTACCCTGCATTAGACTGCATCAGGGTGCATTATACTGCATTAGACTGCATTAGGGTGCATTAGACTACACCAGGGTGCATTAGACTACACCAGGCTGCATTAGACTGCAGCAGGGTGCATCAGGGTGCATTGGACTGCATTAGGCTGCATTAGACTGCACCAGGGTGCATTAGACTGCATCAAAGTGCATTAGACTGCATTAGACTGTATCAGGGTGCATCAGACTGCATCAGAGTGCATTAGACTGCATCAGGTTGCATTAGACTGATATATACATATACTGTCCCTCCCTCTTGTCATTTTTGGGACCTTATAATAGGCATGTACATAAAGTACTTCCCCAGAAATCACTCACAACTTTGTTATTGAGCCCACAGTCTATAAAACAGCGGTCACTTCACCCACAGAAATCAGGAAATCAGGTTAGAAATCACATTAGAAATCAAGAAATTAGATTATAAATGAACAGAAATCTGTTTAGAAATCAACAGAAATCAGGTTAGAAATCACAGGGCTGCAAATTACTGTCGGACATCGGACAATGTCCGACTAAATTTAGCAAATGTCCGAGCAAAAGTGATTTTTATTTTTGGCTCATTACCGTATTTACTCGATTAAGCGCCACCCCCGATTGAGCGCCACCCCCGATTGAGCGCCGCCCCAGAATGAGAGCCGCATTTGAGATCAATTTTTTTTAAAGAGCGCCGCCCTCGAATGAGCGCCGCACTAAACAGTGTAAAAACTTTCCGCGTCAAAATTGGGGCATTTCGTAACAAAAACCTTTTAAAACTTGTCTATTTTATAGTTAAATGTTCTTGTCATAATTCAGAAATAAAATATTTTTTAAAGAGCGCCGCCCCCGATTGAGCGCCGCCCCCGAATGAGCGCCGCATCTGAAGCTCTAAAAATTTAAAGAGTGCCGCGGCGCTTAAACGAGTAAATACGGTATACATTTTTTGCTGAGACAAAATCCGATTGCAAATTCACTCAATTTGTATTTTGCAATAAAATTTACGAGGCATTCTAGCATTTTACTTAACGTTGCGCCGGAATGGCTATACATACTTGTCCTGTGACTTATATATATCTTGTGACATATATATGTCCAACTAAATTTAGTGATGTTGGTTTTTGTCCGACTAAATTCACGTTATGTCCGACCAAAATTAAAAGTGATCGGACAAATGTCCTGTCAAGTCAAATGTTTATTTACAGCCCTGAAATCATGTGATTTCGAAATCTCATGCGCTTCCTCCTAGTGTAGTATAATACTGTTTTAGGAGTATTTCATTAAAGCATTAAAGCTTCATGTGGCCATGTCATATCGGGTGACAGTGAATGGTAGCTAGAGTGTTTATATTAAATAGATTACAAAACCAGATGCCAAGTTTATCAACGTCACCTGCACTACACGCCTGTGAGTCAACCCCGGCACCCATTGGCCATTGGTAGCCAAGACCCAACCCCCGTATAGTAAAATGCATATTGCCACATTCATGTTGTCATCAATACAGACCTTTCAGCAGAATGTCAACCAATTTAACTCCTCTCTCCTCAGCTAACTCACGTGCAATATATTCTTGAACTTGGTATGTTGCAACCAGGAAAGCATTAAAAGCTTTTGCTCCTCTCCGTGATAACAAATCAAGGAATTTTATGATCTTCTTTCGCGGGGTTGGTTCTGCTCTTATCAAATCCTCGGAATTTTGATCGAAAATTTCTGTCATAAACGGAAAAACATCATCCACCAGCAAGTTTTTTGTCAAATACTCTGTTTTCTTTCGTAAAAATTCACGATCGGCGGTAGACATTGAATACTCACTTACAGCAGCCATTGTGATTTTTTTTATTGAAATGAAAGTTCTAATTTCAAAATTTTAATTTCAATTTTTGTCAATTTTGTGTTGTATTTTTATACTCGGCCCCATTTCGCCACGGTCACACTAATTTCCATGCGTCAGTGTCATGCGTTTAGAGCCACGAGAATAGCCACGAGTATTTTAATATATGCGCAAACATTTTGTGGTTTTCGGACCGTAAAAATTGTAGGATTTGGTAACTGGTAAGTATTATACTTCCTCTTTTTTACTGCGAAGCTTTAAGTTATTTGAATCATTTATATCATATAAAACGGGAAAAAAAAACTATTTGAAGTCAAGTTGTACTAGCAGTTGATTGTTGTTTATATAAAATAGAATTACACGCGTTGGAAATACTCAATGTGTGAACAATGTATCAATATCCAGACTTGTAAATTCTTTAGGGATGTGTTAATTTTGAGAATAATTTTGTAGGAAATATTGTTATTTTTGTACATTGAATACTTTTCTTATGCACCTATCAATGTTAAGCCCCAGAGGGGGGGGTCGGGCATAGGTGGGGCATTTGACTTTTTGAGCAAATTTTCAATCAAATTCCCCACCGTCGGGCAATAAATATCGGTCAAATGCCCCACTATTTTGCAATAAATTGCAATAAATACTATATTAATAAAGGTTAATTGGTTCAAATTGCCCCAACTTGGGGCCAAAATGCTGATCAAAATCCCCAGGGTGGGGATGCAATTGATGATCAAATACCCCACATATGCCCGACCCCCCCCTCCCTCTGGGGGTTAACATTGATAGGTGCATTATGCAGCCAATGAAATAGCCAATATCATATTGGCGGCCATTTTGAAGCACTCTGAAGGATGGGAGATAATATGCGTTTTGATGATGTCATAGACTTCCGGGGTTTCCCACTTATACCAGTATGCTCATGTATATATAAAACCTAACCATGACAGCTATATTCTAATACTGGGGTGACTGGTCATGCATGAGAAACTGCACTCCTACCAGAATGTAAAGTATTATTTTTGCGTGGGGGAATTTTCCCAAATGTTATAAATGCCACTTATGGCAGTTGTGCGGAAATGACCACAAAATGTTTAAGAATGGTTGCATAACTCCCACGAGGTGCCACCACCACGAAGCGCCACCATTGTTGGCATCAAGTGGGAAAATTTCGAACCTTTCCAGTCTTGCACTCCTAGGAAAGTGGAATCCAGGGCCATGTCCCTCCAAAAAGTTTTAACATGTAGGTTTCTGAAATGGCACTGAGGGGTCCGACACAGCCACATGAAGCGTACAAGATTTCGAAATCATGTGGTTTCTAACCTGATTTCTTGATTTTTAATCTGATTTCTGTTGATTTCTAAATGGATTTCTGTTGATTTAGAATGCGATTTCTTGATTTCTAATGTGATTTCCTGATTTCTAACACAATTTCCTGTTTCTGTGGGTTACCACTGTCATATAAGACTGTGGGCTCAATATTAAATGTGTTTATGCAATAAAAATAGTTAACTTCTAGCACGAGTTGTGATGTGGGTCGTTATAATATGTAAATTATGCATTTATGCAGGGTTCAATTTCATTGACCAATCAGTAGTAGTCTGTTGTCAGTGGGCGGGAGTTTGCCATTTGCTGTGCTCACGGGCTGTGCTCACTTGCATACTGCTTCTCACACTGTGAACTCGATTTCCCACCCACCCACCCGATAGTGTTTCCCACTTGCCTGCGGTGGCGCCGGCTGCTTGCCGGGTTTTTGTTTTCAGGCTGCTTGCCTGTGCTTGCTGGCTGCTTGCCGGTCTACCTCCGGCTGTTTTTTGCCAGTCCCATGGGCTGCCTGCCTGCTCCCCCCCCCTCTGGCTGTTTGCTCGATCTCGGGCTATTGTCCGCTCCCTGTGCGGCTGCTTGCCGGGTGTTCGGCTGCTTGCCGAGGTGTGTATCTGTGCATCAGCATATTTAATTTTTGTGATTTGTTCGTCTGCTTGTACGTGCGTTTGTCCCCTCACCATTAGTCCTTTTGTCTGTCTGTGAAGTGCTTATTCTCTGTTGTATGTGTCCTTGGCACAGTGTAAATGGTGGGGGTAGTCCTTTTTGTCATCCTTGCTAGCAATGTCCGTGTTGTGTT